CTGGATGGACAGTTGAAAAAATAGCTCAATATTTTGGATGTATCTTGTTTATTAGCCAATGGCTCTGGATGTATTGTTAGATAAATGGCTCTATATTTAGCATGTATCCGGACTATCAACCAGTGGCTCTGGATGGACAGTTGGATAAATGGCTCTGTATTGAGGGTTATCTGGGCTACAAACCAGAAGGTCTGGATGTTCAGCTGGATAAATAGCTCTACAGGCTTATCATATCTAGGATGTATCTGGTCTACAAACCAATAGCTATGCATGGATAGTTGGATAAATGCTTCTATATTTAGGTTGTATCTGGGCTATAGGGCTATAAAAACCAGTGGTTCCAGATGGACATTTAGATAAATGGCACAGCATTTATGATGTATCTGGTCTATACAGCCCCAAGTCCAATCTTTAACTAACTCATGCAGACTCCACCTCCACAACATCGCCAAAATACGCACGTTCCTAACCCCAGAAACCACTAAACAGCTCATCCACTCCCTCATCATATCACGAGTCGAGTACTGCAACTCCCTCCTCACTGGCCTGCCTTGCCGCTGGCTATCCCTGCTTCAGTCGATCCTGAATACGGCTGCCAGACTCATTTCACCTTTCCAACCTCTCCGTTTCCGCCACCCCCCTCTGCCAATCCCTCCACTGGCTTCCGATTGCGCAACGGATCAAATTCAAAATCCTAACACTGACGTACAAAGCCGTCCACCATACTGCCCCGAACTACATCACTGACCTAATATCCAAGTACCGCCCAGCACGCACACTCCGCTCCTCACAAGACCTCCTTCTCTCTAGTTCCTTGGTCTCCTCCTCTCCATGCCCGCCTCCAGGACTTCTCCAGAGTGTCACCCATCCTCGAACTCCCTGCCCCAACCCATCAGATTATCACCTACTCTCCTCTCCTTTAGGCGCACCCTGAAAACCCATCTCTTCAGGGAAGCCTACGCCACCCCCTGCTAACTTGCCGACCTCCTCCACTCTTCCTACCACCCCATCCCCCACAGCTATCTCCTCCTGTGCCACCATCCCCTCCCTCCTAGATTGTAAGCTCGAAAGAGCAGGGCCCTCAATCCCCTCATGTTTTGCATTGTATTGGTATTGTTCTGTCACATGCTCTGTCCCCCTTTGTAATGTACAGTGCTGAGCGAACTATTGGCGCTTTATAAATACTGTATAATAATAATAATAATAATAATAATATAAACCAGTGGCTTTTTTTGCTCACGTGACTCCGGTAACCTAAAGCAAGAAATCTTTTAGATATGCTTTTCTACCATGTCTCAATATTTGCACCTTGTGTATTGTGTAATTTGTGGTAATGATGACACAATTTGTAGAATCAATAACATTAATCTAAAATGCTCACCTCTGGTGTATCCAAAGGGTCATGATTTGCTGGGTGTTTTGCCTTCCTCTGGATCAACTGTGGGTGTAGGATTATAACTTTTTTTTTTTCTTTTATGGTTTAACTGGATGGACTTTTGTCTTTTTTCAGCCAGACTAACTATGTAGCATGTACCATGACGTCACTGTGCTAAAATCAGATTTATTCAGGTCTCACAATCTACTCTGCTGAAACGCGTTTTACTTTTATGTCTAAGCCCATGAGGGCGAAATGCATTAGTTTGAGTGTTGTCAATCAGGTGGAATTTGACAGCATGGATTGTGCGTCTGGAATAAAATTATTTATAGTGACATGATGTCATCGGTGTGCGACCCCCACTGCTTTTTACAAACGATGATGCTGTATTTGAAAACTTTCCAGTGATTCTCCATAAACTAACAGGAAATATTTTTATAAAATTTAGGGAAGCAGCGCTTTGTATTGTCTGCTCCTAAAATTGTGGAACGCAGACCTCAACAGGATCCGTAGCAAATCCGCCACTAGCTTGTGCTAATAATTTGCATTTTTTAAAAATAATTTTTTAATTACCCTTTTTTAGGGCAATTATTTATGCACACAACTATTATCCACATCTCATTATAGTGGTGATAGGGATAGCAATTACCAGTTTATATTTAACGGGTCCAACGTGTTTCCTGAACAATTTCCAGATAGCCGTCCATCATTCCTCAGAGAGGGGAGCAGGCATCGTACGCTCTGCTGGATTGTTGGAAAATTAAATGACTGCGGCAAAGATGAGGAATGCTGAAAGTAATTATTTTCTGATTAGCGGGACACTAAACCTACATAATTTCATAAACTGGTGGAAATGTTTTTAAAGGCCAACTCTCCCTAAAACGTTTACAAGTTTTTATATGGTTAAATTGCGCACTAGATTATCTACTTTTAGACTGCATTTGCCAGATTTTCCCTCATTAGTTTGTGCCCCCCCCATCCATGATGAGATATTTCAGCAGTTATTTGTGTCTCTGCCCCTCCCACAATGGGGAGATTTCCTGCAGTAGTCTGTGTCTTTGCCCCTCCCACAATGGTGGGATTTCCCTGCAGTAGTTTGTGTCTCCGCCCCTCCCACAATGGGGAGATTTCCTGCAGTAATTTGTGTCTATGCCCCTCCCACAATGGGGAGATTTCCCTGCAGTAGTTTGTGTCTGTGCCCCTCCCACAATGGGAAGATTTCCTGCAGTAGTTTGTGTCTCTGCCCCTCCCACAATGGTGAGATTTCCTGCAGTAGTTTGTGTCTCTGCCCCTCCCACAATGGTGAGATTTCCCTCCAGTAGTGTGTGTCTCTGCCCCTCCCACAATTGTCAGATTTCCCTCCAGTAGTGTGTGTCTGTGCCCCTCCCACAATGGGGAGATTTCCTGCAGTAGTTTTGTGTCTCTGCCCCTCCCACAATGGGGAGATTTCCTGTAGTAGTTTGTGTCTTTGCTCCTCCCACAATGGGGAGATTTCCTCCAGTAGTTTGTGTCTCTGCCCCTCCCACAATGATGAGATCTCCTGCAGTAGTTTGTGTCTCTGCCCCTCCCACAATGATGAGATCTCCTGCAGTAGTTTGTGTCTCTGCCCCTCCCACAATGGTGACATTTCCTGCAGTAGTTTGTGTCTCTGCCCCTCCCACAATGGTGAGATTTCCCTCCAGTAGTGTGTGTCTCTGCCCCTCCCACAATTGTCAGATTTCCCTCCAGTAGTGTGTGTCTGTGCCCCTCCCACAATGGGGAGATTTCCTGTAGTAGTTTGTGTCTTTGCTCCTCCCACAATGGGGAGATTTCCCTGCAGTAGTTTGTGTCTCTGCCCCTCCCACAATGATGAGATCTCCTGCAGTAGTGTGTGTCTCTGCCCCTCCCACAATGATGAGATCTCCTGCAGTAGTTTGTGTCTCTGCCCCTCCCACAATGATGAGATCTCCTGCAGTAGTTTGTGTCTCTGCCCCTCCCACAATGGGGAGATTTCCTGCAGTAGTTTGTGTCTCTGCCCCTCCCACAATGGTGAGATCTCCTGCAGTAGTTTGTGTCTCTGCCCCTCCCACAATGGTGAGATTTCCCTGCAGTAGTCTGTGTCTCTGATATCCCATTACAAGTAAGAATGAGCCAAACTGTCCTGCGTTTAGTTCAAGCGGGGTTCTGTAAAGAAGTTCAGATGCTGAACCTGAATCCCATTGAAGTCTGTGGGAACCGTATTTCTCAAATTAAAAATGCTGAATTTTTTGGATAATAGGCAAAGGGGTGTAAAAAAAAAATCAATAACAGCATGGTGGGTGGGAGCTGCTCTGGGGAGTATGTGCCAATGCAAAAATAAATGAAAAATTATCTGGCCAGGAACTGTGATTTTTTTTTTAAATGCTTAAAGTGAAACATTAAAAATATCCAATTCCTCGAATGAGGAAGAGAGAACACATGTTCGGTCAGTAGCTGGCAAGAGAAGAGGATTTAAAGTGTTACTAAACCCACAACAGTAAAAATCAGTCTGTATATGCAGTAAAGCATTCTTATTATACTCCTGTGGAACCTAACGGGTTAATCCTCCATATTGTGCAAAAACAGCCATTTAATCCTGTCTTCTCTGATCCTCCCCTTTTTCAAGTGACCATCTCTTATCTCCTGAGAAGACAGACGGAACCATAGGCATTTGCACATGCTCAGTTTGGTCTGTATTGCTAGAGAGGTTTTATTTCCTTGGGAGAGTGCATGTGATCAGCACAGAGCCAATCAGTACTGTCCAGACAGAGGTCAGGGGTTTTGCATCCTCCTAGAGCAGAAAGAAAACTCCTTCTACAAGCTTTAGCTAGTGCTTGGCTGGACACTGATAGAAGTCACAAGACTGCTATATACTGCTGATGAGAAAAGGTATTTAGCAGTTTATATTTACTAAAATAATTGCATTTCCATGTTCTGTGTACTGTGGGAGACCAGATATAGTGAATGCAGGGTCCTGGGAGACCGGATATAGTGAATGCAGGGTCCGGGGAGACCAGATATAGTGAATGCAGGGTCCGGGGAGACCGGATATAGTGAATGCAGGGTCCGGGGAGACCAGATATAGTGAATGCAGGGTCCGGGGAGACCAGATATAGTGAATGCAGGGTCCTGGGAGACCAGATATAGTGAATGCAGGGTCCGGGGAGACCAGATATAGTGAATGCAGGGTCCTGGGAGACCGGATATAGTGAATGCAGGGTCCTGGGAGACCAGATATAGTGAATGCAGGGTCCGGGGAGACCAGATATAGTGAATGCAGGGTCCGAGGAGACTGGATATAGTGAATGCAGGGTCCTGGGAGACCAGATATAGTGAATGCGGGGTCCGGAGAGACCAGATACAGTGAATGCAGGGTCCGGGGGGGAGAGCAGATATAGTGAAAGCGGGGTCCTGGGAGACCAGATATAGTGAATGCAGGGTCTGGGGAGACCAGATATAGTGAATGCAGGGTCCGGGGAGACCAGATATAGTGAATGCGGGGTCCTGGGAGACCAGATATAGTGAATGCGGGGTCCGCGGAGACCAGATATAGTGAATGCGGGGTCCTGGGAGACCAGATATAGTGAATGCGGTGGTCCGGGGAGCCCAGATATAGTGAATGCGGTGGTCCGGGGAGCCCAGATATAGTGAATGCGGTGGTCCGGGGAGACCGGATATAGTGAATGCAGGGTCCTGGGAGAGCGGATATAGTGAATGCAGGGTCCAGGGAGATCGGATATAGTGAATGCAGGGTCTGGGGAGACCAGATATAGTGAATGCAGGGTCCCGGGGGAGACCTGATATAGTGAATGCAGGGTCCGGGGAGACCAGATATAGTGAATGCAGGGTCCTGGGAGACCAGATATAGTGAATGCAGGGTCTGGGGAGACCAGATATAGTGAATGCAGGGTCCGGGGAGACCTGGTATAGTGAATGCAGGGTCCTGGGAGACCAGATATAGTGAATGCAGGGTCCGGGGAGACCAGTTATGGTGAATGCGGGGTCCTGGGAGACCAGATCTGGTGAATGGGGTCCGGGGTTTAGTAACACTTTAAATAACATGCCTGGAAGGTGCCCCAATCCTGCCTGTGAAGGGGCACATCCCTGTGGTATGCAGAAAGGGCTGCAGCAGCACTGGAATTTCAAACAAAAATGTGTTTGTGATTTCTGGGGGTCTGGTATAGATTTTCTAGGGGACACGTTTTATACAGACTCAAAGGAGTTTATTTACTAAAGCTGGAGAGTGCAATATCAGGCTCACTTCTGTATTGAAACCAATCAGCTTCTAACTCAGCTTGTTCAATTAAGCTTTGGCAATAAAACCTGGAAGCTGATTGGTTTGTATGCAGAAGTGAGCCTGATTTTGCACTCTCCAGCTTTAGTAAATAGACCCCAAGGGTCTGGTATGTATTTTAGAGGCTTTGACAAAAGGGACATTAAAAAAAAAAAAAAAAAAAAACACGCAGACCCCTCCAGAGGTCCCATTATACACAGAGCAGTTGGAGGGGTTTGTCTGGTGGGAATCAGGAATGAAATGCAATCTACCAGCAATTTTAAACACTTTTTTCTTTGTAAATGTCACTGCTGCTAAAGCATGTTAAGGGGAATCTAGACACACACACAAAAAACAAAAACCTGAGGTCCCCTAAAAAATCCATACCAGTCCCCTAATTTGAGCATGCAGTCTGGCTGGTCAGGATGGGAGGTGGAATAAGTGCGGCCCCCTTTCTTCTGAACCATACCAGGCCATGTGCCCTCAACATGTGGGTTTTGTTCCCTACAACCCTGGTGAGTGGTTGTAGGGGTTTTATCAGATTCTGGATGCCCCCATACCGCTCCCCCCTTAAATTAGTATGGGGTAGTAGTACCCCTATTCATTCACAAAAAGAAAAAGTTGTATACTACAAAAAGGGCACCCAAATCCTTTATTAAAAAGAAAATCCCCACAAAAATGTCCCTCTCTGTAAATCCACTGTCAATCACAATGCCTGCCACCTGCCAAAAAAACAAAAACAACAACCCCAGACAACTCACCACGCAGAATTGATCTTGATGCCAGTGGTGTATTTGGGTTTCATGCTGCCTTAGGCAACACAACAATCAGCTCCCCCCCCCCACCCAGAGAGACCCTGACATCGACCAACACCCCCCTCCTCCCACAAAGAGAGCCTGACATTGATCAACAACACCCAAGCCCCCTACCCCCACTTGAGAGAGCCTTCCATTACCACCACCCACCCATACACTGGCAACCCCCCACCCCAGCAAGAGAGAATTTCTGGGAACAAGCGTCAGGCTCTGCATACACCATCAAGCAGCCTCTCTCAGATCCCACCTGGTCCCCATGCCTTGTCTGTCCCTTCTTCCATCCCTTGTTTCGGGGAAAAATGACATTGCCCCCCCTGAAAAATGCCGCCCTAGGCAAATGCCTTGTTTGCCTTGTGGTAAATAAGCTCCTGCTTGATGACACAGCCCCGAATGACAGCTCCTTGAGCTGCCATCAGCTATATAAGGGAAGGGGTGGGCATAGTTACATAAAAATTTCCCCAAAATGTCACCCATTGAAATCCATTGTTAATTACAATGCCCATCACCTGCTGACGAAAAAAAACCCCAAAACCCCAGGCAACCCACTGCGCACAATTGATCCTGACACTACACATAGCCGAGTGACTGCTCCTCGAGCTGTCATCAGCTATATAACCCTTTGGCGCTATATACTCGAGAAATAATAATAATAATTAATATATATAGGGAAGGGGTGGGCATAGTGGTGACATCATTGCCCAAAAATGACCATGTGGCCATATCTAAGCAATGATTAACCTTTTCCATCCATGCCCATGTCCTTGTATGGCTGGGGATCCTAGTCATGTAAGTAAATGGGTGGGAGGCAGTTGTTAAGGACACAGCAGGTTGAAAGCACCCGCTGCTTCCTTAGCAACCATTGACAGCCAAAAGGTGTCACGTTGGTCCATCCTGAGCACCCCAAACATTCAGTGTTTGGATGAACATTTGAACAGCTGGTGTTCAGTCCAAACATACGTACGTTTGGACTGAACACTGAGCTCATCCCTAATTATAAGGCTTTAATACAGTTTTTCTATATGTGTTGGTTTCTAAGCAAAAATCTACCACCCTTGTCTCAAGAGTCTATAATCAATTAATGTAGATTATAGGAAGATAATAGGTAGCCAACGTGTATCAGACATCAACAACCCCCTTCATCAGGGCTAGACATGTGCAGTTCTTTTCCTTCCGAATCAAAATTTGGACAAAATTTTCATTATTCAGAGATTTGGATGTATCCAACTTTCCAAGTTACAATAATAAATTTAATGGAATCCAAAATAACAAAACAAAATTTTGACCAAAATGCGAATCAAATTAGAAATCTAATTAAACAAATATAAACATGTTGCTGAATATTGCTGATTTCCTCCAAAAACTGTGCATTAATATTAAAATATGGCTGTCTTCCGGAATTCAAATTTCGACAATAATAGAATATAATAAAACAGAATAGAATAGAAAATAAAATAATAGAATAGAAACTAAAGGAAATTGAATAAAATAGAAAAAAAATAGAATGGATTAAAATTTCGAAAAAAAGAATAGAATAGAAAATAATAGAGTAAAAAAAAGAACAAAATAGAACATGAAATAAAAGAATAGAATAAAATAAAATAGAAAATAAAGGAATAGAATAGCATAGAAACAAAGAATAGAATAGAAAATAAAAGATTAGAATGGAAAAGAATAGAGTAAATCAGAAAAGAATAGACTATATTAGAAAATAAAAGATAAGAATGCAAAAGAATAGAAAAATAAAACATAGAATAGAAGAAATAGTATAGTTTAGAATAGAATAAAATAGAATATAGCCGTCTTCTGAAATTCGATTTTCGAATAGAATAGAGTAAAACAGAATAGAAAAGAATAGTAAAACAGAATAGAAAAGAATAGAGTAGAATAGAATAGAATGAAATAGAATATAGCCGTCTTCTGAAATTCGATTTTCGAACAGAATAGAATAGAGTAAAACAGCATAGAAAAGAATAGTAAAACAGAATAGAAAAGAATAGTAAAACAGAATAGACTATATTAGAAAATAAAAGATAAGAATGCAATAGAATAGAAAAATAAAACATAGAATAGAAGAAATAGTATAGTTTAGAATGAATAAAATAGAATATAGCCATCTTCTGAAATTCGATTTTCGAAACAGAATAGAATAGAGTAAAACAGAATAGAAAAAGAATAGTAAAACAGAATAGAAAAGAATAGTAAAACAGAAAAGAATAGACTATGTTAGAAAATAAAAGATAAGAATGCAATAGAATAGAAAAAATAAAACATAGAATAGAAGAAATAGTATAGTTTAGAATAGAATAAAATAGAATATAGCCGTCTTCTGAAATTTGATTTCCGAACAGAATAGAATAGAGTAAAACAGAATAGAAAAGAATAGTAAAACAGAATAGAAAAGAATAGAGTAGAATAGAATAGAATAAAATAGAATATAGCCGTCTTCTGAAATTCGATTTTCAAACAGAATAGAATAGAGTAAAACAGAATAGAAAAGAATAGTAAAACAGAATAGAAAAGAATAGTAAAACAGAAAAGAATAGACTATGTTAGAAAATAAAAGATAAGAATGCAATAGAATAGAAAAATAAAACATAGAATAGAAGAAATAGTATAGTTTAGAATAGAATAAAAAATAGAATATAGCCGTCTTCTGAAATTTGATTTTTCGAACAGAATAGAATAGAGTAAAACAGAATAGAAAAGAAATAGTAGAAAAAATAGAAAAGAATAGACTATGTTAGAAAATAAAAGATAAGAATGCAATAGAATAGAAAAATAAAACAAAGAATAGAAGAAATAGTATAGTTTAGAATAGAATAAAATAGAATATAGCCGTCTTCTGAAATTCGATTTTCGAAACAGAATAGAATAGAATAAAACAAAATAGAAAAGAATAGAGTAAAACAGAACAGAATAGAAATTAAAAGAATAGAATCGAATAGACTAGAATAGATAGAAATGGAATAGAATACAATAACATAGAATATAACCATTTTCCAAAATTTGAATTTCGAATAGAATAGGACCAGCTATTCTTCACAATGAATTCGGATCGATGTGGTATTTTTGAGTCGAATTTGATTTGCATACTTTGAATCCATTGGGAAAATTTGAATCCGGACGAAAACGAATACATGAAAGAAAACTAAAGTAAACAAATTTCATTACGAATGCAACAAAACTAAATTAGTAACTTCATGATTTGACAAAACAAACAAAACAAATATGTTCGTTGTGCACATGTCTGATCAGCGCCTAAATAAATACGACAGTGCCTGCAGGACTCTGGTGTGAAGTCTCCTGGGTATTGTCCTGTATCGGTGGGTCGTAATGGTCGTGTGCTAGAGATAAAACGTTTCCTAGTTCTGTCTGTGACCCCATTGCACAGACTTCTAACCTTTCCCCTCTGTAACAAAAATTATTTTTTCTTTCGCCCACTTTGGGTAGATTTCCTTTCCCGGCAAAAAACGAACGCACACCACACAGCTAAAACCTCATATCTGATCTTTGACACACCAGGGGTGGGGGCTGGACACACACGTGAGCTAAAATCCGAATCCACGCACGTGCTGCCAGTTAAGAGCGGTACATTTCCTAAAAGGCTGTAATTGTTTGGCTTTTGTTTTGAGTACAATTTAGATATAAAAAAAAAAAATCATTCTCCTGTCCCTTCCATAATGTCAGGCTGCTTGTAAATTGTATGACATCCACGGAACGCGCTCCCCATTAAAATGTATCGTCCGTTTACATTCTGCTCTGCATCTCATTCTATTAGCTAATACGCCACCAAACTCTGTCGTCATGGCGACAGCCTTGTTCTCGCAGGAACGCGCAGTTATCGGCACTTTGTCCACACGTTTTGCAGATCTCCAGAACTTTTAGACATTTTAGATGTTCCGAGAGTGCCGATCT